CGTACTAATCTTACCATCAATCAGAGTGGAACTGGTGTCCAAAAATGTGTTGCTCTGCGTTGAGATATCCGCTGTGAATTTGATGGTGGCGTGGAACGCGTTAGCGTACTCGATAAACTTGTCAAGGGAGTCCCGACCCGATGTCCATTTGATTTCAATGTCATCGATAAATCTCAACCAGCTAAATGGCTTAATTGGAGCAGATGTTAAAAGTTGGGCTTCAATATATTCTCTATATACTCGACTTTCGGTACAAGTTACACCCCAATGATCATATATACTCGATATATACTCGACTTTCGGTACAAATTTCACCCCAATGATCATATATACTCTATAGATACTCGACTTTCGGTACAAATTACACCCCAATGAATCATATATACTCTAAATATACTCATATATACTCTATATATACTCGACTTTCGGTACAAATTTCACCCCAATGATCATATATACTCTATATATACTCGACTTGCGGTACAAATTGCACCCCAATGATCATATATACTCTAAAGATACTCGACTTGCGGTACAAATTACACCCCATTGATCATATATACTCTATATATACTCGATTTTCGGTACAAGTTACACCCCAGTGATCATATATACTCTATATATACTCGACGTTCGGTACAAATTACACCCCAATGATCATATATACTCTATATATTCGACTTTCGGTACAAATTACACCCCATATTGATCATATATACTCTATATATACTCGACTTTCGGTACAAATTACACCCCATTGATCATATATACTCTATATATACTTAACTTTCGGTACAAATTACACCCCAATGAATCATATATACTCTAAATATACTCGACTTGCCGTAAAAATTGCACCTCAATGATCATATATACTCTATATATACTCGACTTTCGGTACAAGTTACACCCCAATGATCATATATACTCTATATATACTCGACTTTCAGTACAAGTTACACCCCAATGATCATATATACTCTATATATACTCGACTTTCGGTACAAATTACACCCCATTGATCATATATACTCTATATATACTTAACTTTCGGTACAAATTACACCCCAATGATCATATATACTCTATATATCCTCGACTTTCGGTACAAATTACACCCCATTGATGATATATACTCTATATATACTCGACTTTCGGTACAAGTTACACCCCAGTGATCATACATACTCTATATATACTCGACTTTCGGTACAAATTACACCCCAATGATCATATATACTCTATATATACTCGACTTGCGGTACAAATTGCACCCCAATGATCATATATACTCTATAGATACTCGACTTGCGGTACAAATTACACCCCATTGATCATATATACTCTATATATACTCGACTTTCGGTACAAGTTACACCCCAGTGATCATATATACTCTATATATACTCGACTTTCGGTACAAATTACACCCCAATGAATCATATATACTCTAAATATACTCGACTTGCCGTAAAAATTGCACCCCAATGATCATATATACTCTATAGATACTCGACTTTCGGTACAAATTACACCCCAATGATCATATATACTCTATATATACTCGACTTTCGGTACAAATTACACCCCAATGATCATATATACTCTATATATACTCTATTCATACTCTGTATATACTCTATATATACTCGACGTTCGGTACAAATGACACCCCGATCGTATACATGATCTACACATTCTGAGGTCCCTATGGGTGGTATGTTGCGTAACACTATATTTTACGTACGCCCAATTACAGGGTAAAGGTCACATTGATGTCAAAGGTCAAATTCGTTGTCGGAGTCATAACTGGCGACTCTTTGAAGATATCTCATCGAAGTTTTAGGAATAAATGTACAATAACACGGAGGTGTGTCGCGTACCACTTTGTTATCGGTCATAACAACTGACTCGCTAAAAGTTAGGGATACATGTCGGATTGGTCTGTATGTTCAAGGTCAAAGTGACACATTATTCCAGTATTGTTGACATTTTCGGGGAGCATAGTCAATCAAATTTATCGTTTGTCATTAAATATAATTCAGCAGTTCAGAAATATTTGACCTTCCGACTACTTGCTATGAACGTGGTCGTGAGGGTAAACATGATCGCGTTATCAGAACCACCGACACATCGTCTTATCACCATACACCATACAATGTACTCATATGAGGTTGAAGGTTACGGTCCCGATACTTACATGTATTGGATGGTTTTAACAACGAGAAAATGGGCTATTTTGCGTTACATATACATTTACATATGATAATGATAGCGCATCATCAGGTCATGATAAACTACATACATGTACATGTACAATAACCTTGAATTGTCAAGACAGGGACAGAACTATAACACTTAATATAGTCGGAAAACTATATACATTGTAAATCATCGACCTAGCGATCTTAAGCAGTCTTCTATGTTGTTTCAGAACACGATGCTACGGAAATTGCAGCCATTTGAAACAATTTATTTTAATTTGTTCACGTTTAATCACATTGGCATATCCGATGATACGATATACTGAGCAAATAAATCGATGGACCATGAGCTACGGTCCCGCGGCTGTGTCATCCTCTGAATTAAGGTAAACATTCAGAGATGGCTATAACAAATTACAGAAATATCCTCCATTTATATAGATCATACATGTAATTTGGCTGGGTAATTACAAGTTTTATGTAGCTTATCACACACGAAATTTTCACATTCACGGAATGAACTCGTATACCTCAAACAACGTATCCTCAAGGTCCGATGTTACCACAAACAGCGTATCCTCAAAGTCCGATGCTACCACAAACAGCGTATCCTCAAGGTCCGATGTTACCACAAACATAATTTTCAATTGGCGGAATATACCTGCATAGGATCAGTTACAGCGCTGAGAGCCTCGACCAGGACCCTTGCCCGCTGCCCATCGAGTGATACCTGGTGCACACCGCCTGTTTTGCCTTCATTTTTATAAACCACATAGGAATTACACCCCTGATCCACGGCCACCCCATCCACAGTTCTGCCAGTGTCGTGTCTGAACACTTCTCCTCCTCCGATTTTCATGCACACTACATAATCTCTGTCGGCGTAGTAATACGTCCGATTCACGTCGTGCTTCCCGAGAAGAATGGGTTCATCTATTTTAGCTCCATCCATGGACATCTGACCAACGTAGTTATCTTCCCCTGTTATCAAAGCTGTGTCCAATGCAGCTACATTCAGGGCCAAAGTCTTTCCGACTGACAACTTTAACAAGTCTTACTTCAGAGTCCATTAGATCTATTGATCTGTTATGACGTTCACCTGAGAAGAGTAAGGAAGTTTGTCGAGTTGTCTTGCCACCCGAGCCATGGCATCAAATGTTTTACCAGAGGGCGCCTCCTGTATGTCTACCTTTCCCAGTGAGTTTAGGGCGACAAGAGACGCCAATGACGTATCCATGCGGACCTCCAGACTCACGTCAACGTCGTTCGTACATTCTGCTTTCAGGTGATGATAGTGGCTGGCTAGTTGGGATTTCATTTTCTATAACGTGACAAATGCTTGTCGTCGAGTTCCTGTAATGACTGACGTCATGACCTTACAGCAGTACTTCACGTCCTTCTCAAACGCCCGGATTTGATGTTGTTGGTGCTGTAATTTCTGCTTCTCTATCTCGTATGCGTGTTTGACATCACATATTTTATAAGGCATCACGAAAAGAGTCTAGCGTCGCCTTAGCCTTATCTACCGCATCCGTGATAGCCATGGTGACAACCTTCACCTCCTCGCCGACCCTGTCAATGTTACTTTCTTTGACAGAAGCAATTGTAGTTAATTACTGTTCAATATGTTTCAGCTCGTATGTGAATATTGAACATATTTAAACTCTTCAGAAAGGTCGTCGATAGAGTGTATCTGCTTACATTCCCTGTGTTTTGTAGCAATGCAAACGACACAACACAGTTCCGAATGGTCCGAACAGTACACCTCTAGGATTTTAATTGTTCAACGGGAAAGTTTATGCCCAGGTTCCCGCCGGCGATTAAGGGTTTGGAGGTGTGACGGACGATCGACAAACAGGACATGGGAAGTTTGTCCTGATTACAACATTAGAAAATATGTATGAATTGAGACATTCTTCACAAAACGTGTGTAAACAAGGTAAAGACCGCGGATTGTGCTATTGTTCCAGACAAATAGGACGGTCTAGTATTTCTGTGGACGACGTGATACTTGCCTCGGCCATGTTGTTACCTGTGTACCCGGAAACACTCTATTTTCATTATTAGTTTCACCCGTTGCAACGTCTTGATCCATGCCTAGATAACGACGTCCGTGTCATATTCGTTGTTACCTGCTGACCAATATTGAGTGGTTTTATCCAAGATTTTAAGAAAACGAATCACAAGTCACATACTCTACATGATAAGATTCCACCTGGTCACTTACGAATCGAAAGTTACATGACGGTTGAAGGTCACAGTACATTGTAACATCCGTCTGATGGGTTAGAAAGGCGCGTGCTGGACATTGACAACAGGTAAGGGGTAAGGCACGTTGTTAAGGGGAGGCAAGTCATGAACTCTTGAATAGAAAAGGCATGTCGCAACACAATTTGAAAGAAATGACTTATAGTTTATCTTGTCCTTGTGTGCTGTTGTTGCGATGGTAATTTTTTGTGTTACCCTGGACAAGTATATCCACAATTTTTCGGTTGCATATTATAAAACACTAATACACATTTACCAGCCGCGAGATGGTACACACATGTGCCGCAGTGACAACACGCAAGGACAAACTTTATCGTAAGAATGAATGAAGTTTTCCCAAGTGCTTTTCGTATAGTGTACATGGTATATTTTGTCCTTTTTTTTGGTAAAAAAAATGATAAAGTTTGGCCTTACGTGTTGTCACTGTGACATATTTGTCCTTTGAGTTGTCATCATTGTATGATTTATCATTTACTCTTTACGAGCATTGTACCTTATCGTGGCTGGTAAATGTGCATTAACACGCACCTGTAGCATTAGGGTCTAGTTAGCTATCAATAGTTCAGGGACACATCTTGGTCATCTGTACGTTTGCCTGGGACATATTACATGTTAGATATACCTCGTGTATCAGCCCAGTGTCCCCACTACTTCCCAACATGGCTGCACAAGAAAAGACCCGCGTGTGTTTGATAGCTGTGGATGGGAGCAAACATTCAAATTACGCCGTCGACTGTAAGTAAGACTGTTTATACTATCAACTTAACTTGTATGTTTAGTTTCTTTTCAATCTATGTTGATGTTATGCTAAAATATTTTCATAAGACAAACGTTTTCAAACTTATACAGGGATTGTCAGTATTCCACCGCTATGCTACGAAATATTCGTGATATACTAGTAGGGCATAGTGACGTGAGAATAAGTTACAGCTATATTTCGGCCTATACTAAGGTGTTCAGAGTAATATAACGAGTGTTAGGGGTTTAAGATCAACTTTTGATATAAGCCATCACTTGGGATGGCACTGAGTTACCGAAAGTTGATTCCAACCCCTAAAACCTGTAATATTCCCATGAACATCTCAGTTCAGGTCCAAATATAGCTGTAACAAAGGTTCAGGTCCAAATATAGCTGTAACAAAGGTTCAGGTCCCTGTGCACTGTAGTGAACAAAGTGATAAGCTCTGGAGTTCTCCTTCATACCTCTGGTCAGCCCGTTTACAGAATAACGTGACCGGACTGAGTCACATACACTGTACTAGTGTGCAATGAGAGTTACAATAGCCCGTGATGGTTCTATTATATACATGTATGGACACATTCCTTCATATCATATTAATGTTGTGAGCACGCATAACATTAAAAAACCACAACTAGACCCTATACTTGATTGATGTCACAGGTTTCTTAAGTCATCACTAAGATACACTGTAGACTATTTCCACCTACGTTTGTAGCTCGTTAATGTATCACCTGTTCTTAAGGTCGTAGATAGGCCTTTTAATATGCTGTACATGTTGTAACATAGCTGCAAGGGTGAAGGTGTAGAGATTGGGATGGGGTGTGAGGGCCAAAGATGGTACACATTTATTGGATAAAATTTCCATCCATAATCCTTCTTTTTTTCAGTTTGAGCTATAATTCCCGTGGATCGACCACTGTCGATACTACGACGGGTTTGAGTTTGATTGCCCATGTTTTTGTTTCTGCATGAGTTCCAGACTCCCGACCTCTCTAGACTATCTATTTTAAAATAACATACGAACGTTTCACAATCGCGATGATTACAGTGTACCTTTCAGCACTCAGTGTAATCTCTAACCTTGGCCTCAGCATGTACCCCTTCATATCATAGTCAGACGTACATTGTAGGATAGTATCTATACGAGAAGCTTGCTAGATGTTTCAGTGGAACGGTTATGTCGTGTTTGAATGTAACCCAGTGTATGGTGTCTGTAAACCATTTTGTTACCAAAGGTTCACAATTTCCTATTGTACATACAGTTTACAAACAGTGTACATCCAATTTACATCCAATATGCAGACAGTGTACATAAAATGAACATACAGTTTACATACATCATTATACATACAGTTTATATACAATGTACATGCAATGAACATACAGTTTACATGCATTATAGATACATTAGACATACAGTTTACATACACTATACATACAGTTAACATACAGTAAACATGCAGTGTACATACAGTTTACATTTGATACAGTGTACATACAGGGTACATACAGTTTACAAACAGTGCACATAAAATATACATACATTATACATACAACATACATACAGTTTACATACAGTGTACATGTAATGAACATACAGTTTACATGCAGTATATATGCAGTAGACATACAGTTAACATACACTGTACATACAGTTAATATACAATGTACATATAATTTACATTTGATGAAGTGTACATACAGTGTACATACAGTTAACATACAGTTTACAAGCAGTTAATATACAGTGTACATACAATTTACATTTGATAAAGTGTACATACAGTGTACATACAGTTAACATACAGTTTACATTTGATATAGTGTACATACAGTGTATGTACAGTTTACATATGATACAGTTAACATACAGGGTGCATACAGTGTACATGCAGTGGACATATCGTGTACATACATTATGCATACAGTATAATATTGCAATTTCTACTTAAGTTGGATTCAATGCAACTACCAAATGTAACCTGTTTCATTTGCCGATGAGTTTGACCAGATTAACATTGCCTGTGCTCATGATTTTGCAAAGTGAGATAACTATTGACAATGTTTAAACAAAGAATATATCACTTGATTAGATTTAACATTTTCAATCAGCAAAATTGTATCAGCTCACGGTTGTGGTAGTGACAAGTCATGTACTGACCTATAAGTTCTCCCTCCATCTACCCGTTCTGCCTTTTAGGTTCTTGTGACAGTATCAACCCCCGGTACAAATCGAAAACAACGTAGATCCATGTGGTCCCGTCTTATATGAAATGCAGCCGAACAGCCAACTGTCATATCAAATGATTTTGTCCTTTCAAACCACGTCTGGTTTCCTACCTAATTCGACATTCAATTACTGCAGCTTCACATTCCAAAGGATGAAGAACCTTGCAATGTAGCGGCCCTTCACTCCAAGCTAGTAAAAAGATGGTTGTTGTAGACAGAGCCTGCACACCGCGTCTAGACATTATTCTTCCGCGATGACACGTCAGAAAATGTGATATGTTATGAATTCATCAACAAAAAGTAAATTGGACATTTAACATATGGTTTTCTGTTTTGTTTCTACGTAATTTGGCTGTACTTAACTATCAACGTACACCATCATGTTGTATGATGGTCCTTCAATGACGGACTATATTTATTTTTACATTACGTCAAAACGTAGACTTGCACAAGCTCCATAAATCCATAATCCGTAAAGCTCCATAAAATAAATTCAACATGAACTGCGACGCAGTTCATTAAATTTCAAGACCAACTCAATTCATCATCCCATGGAATCGACCAAAGCAAGATTCAATCCTTAAATACAGTGTACATAGAGTTTACATACATTTTACATGCATTGTTCATTCAATGTACATACAGGGTTTAAAAACCTTAAATGCAGTGTACATAACTTGTACATACAGTGTACATACAGTGCACATTCAGTGCACATACAGTGTTCATAAATTATACATTAAGTGTACATACAGTGTACATACAGTGTACATACAGTGCACATACAGATAACATAGAGTATACCTAAAGCACATACAATGAACATACAGTATACAGAGTGTACAAACAGTGTCCATACAGTGTACAATTTACATACAGTTCACATACAATATACACTCAGTTTAAATAGAGTTCACATAAAGTTTGCATACAATCAACATACAAACAATACTTACAAACAAAACATACAGTGCACATACAGTTAACATACAGTTTAAATACTGTGTACATACAGTATACATACATTGTACATATAATTTACATACATAATTTACATATCTCGCCTGCCTGCTGCTTCATGTCAGTGTGTGTGACCAACAGCCGTTGTCAGATTAATTTTGCAGATTTATACAGTATCTTAGCCATTTCATTACCTTATTCCTCCTGCACTCACTTATTTGATAATTACATGCATTATTCCTGCAAACCAAAAGAGGCGCATGCATTATTCCTGCAAACCAAAAGAGGCGCATGCATTATTCCTGCAAACCAAAAGAGGCGACTAGGTGTGGATCCCTTGCTGTGACTGGTAGATCCATCGCAGAATTGAGAGGCGACTAATGAGATATTCCGTAGCAAATTGGAGATTTTTTCACATTTCCCGGGCCAGATTTCCACATACACATGTTCCACGTTTTTGATATCTCTCGTTGACTCACTTTATATGATAGTGCATCTTGCGCAAGAATATGTCCTCTACATCAGCGTTCCTTGTCCGCGATGCTCTCATCTTAATTGCTGCCGTCGGCTGTCTTTAGCCGAGGGGACTATTGGTTTTATATAATAGCTATATTTTCAATTATAGTATATCAGTTCTATATTCTTGTAATATGATGTATATGTACATGTAACTGTTCTGTCTCACTGTGTCTTGAAAAAGGAGCGGATCGCTCCGAAAATTTGACAACCTAAACTTGTCCACACTGTTGGAATTACTTATTTGCCAAATATAATTTACATACGGTATACATACAGTGTTATACAGTGTACATATGGTTGCATACATTGTACATACATTGTACATACAGTGTATATACAGTGTACATATGGTTGCATACATTGTACATACATTGTACATACAGTGTATATACAGCTTACATACAGTGAACATACAGTTTACATACAGTATACATACAATGAACATACAGTTTACATACAGCGAACATACATTATACATACAATGAACATACAGTTTACATACAGTTTACATACAATGTACATACAGTTTACACACAGTGGATATACAGTGTGCATGAACGTTATTGTTCAATAGTTCTCGCATTTAGGAAAACTGTTTCGGTTGATCCGTTCAATATCGTTTTAGGAACCTATCGTGGCATTTGACCTATATAGTGAACTCTGAATGCTTTGCTGTTTGTAGATTGGATACAGTTTCAGCAATATATGACTTCGGTTTTTAGATGCAAACGCAATATTATAGTGTTTACAATATTTTCACTCCTCGTTTGAAATCAAAGCAGCATGTCTTATGGATTATATCTTTGATAGGATATATTATTATTTTGTACAAAGTAGTCACAAGAATAACAGCGATTAACACGGCATTTCACTACATATTCGAGAAAATGTTATAATGATATCGAAAATACAAATAAAACTTAAGTGTAAATTTGATTGGTGAGTTCTGTTTCACAACAAAACCACATCACATCACTATGATACATATCATTATAGAAATACTACATAATACTAAAACATTGCTTAAGCATAACACCACAATACTACACAACGCTTTTCATAACACAACCTAACACAACAAAAACAACAAACACTACCTAACACAACCTAACAATAAAGGAGTACAAAACATCACAACACCACAAGGCTTGACAAATTGTTACATTTATATTTGGACCTACATGTAAATTGAGTTTTTTTGAGTAATTTGACATGTTTTAGGGTTTTATATCAATTTTTGGCGAAAAGCGACCACTAATCACGAAAATTGATCAAAACCCCTAAAACACATAAAATGAAACCAAACACCTTACACTCATGCAACATAACATAACATCAGGTTCGGTACATGTAGATCACTCTTTTAATGTCGTATGTGTGGTCTAACACATTTCCTCATACAGACAATTGTCGTTTAAAAAAAGGCCAGAATACTCCTTCGTCAAACATCATTTACATTTTAAATATGTGTACTTTTTCAGGGTTCATTAAGTATGTTCATCGACCAAATGACCGCACCATCCTGATCACGTGTGTCGATCACACTACAGCTTTTGCCTACGGTAGTGAGTATCATATAACATATTTCTAATAGACGTCTCAAAGTTCTTCAAAATAAACATAAGCATGCCACTGGTCAACTATATTTAGCAATATTCGTATTTATTCATTCCAATCGATATAAAAGATTTTAAAATCATATTTCAAACGATTCATTTTCATTGTGTAACATTTTCATTTGGATACCAAATGAACAGAATATTATGACACACACAACAAGACTGCCTGAATGTCTGTTTCGAGTTTCTTTGGTCTGGCCTCATCATTCTTGGTGTTGTACCATTAGTCTTGTCATTTCTGCCTGGAATCTTGGTGTTGTACCTTTAGTCTTGTCATTTCTGACCTGGTCCCTAGGTGTTGTACCTTTGGTCTTGTCATTTCTTACCTGGTCCCTTGGTGTTGTATCACTAGTCTCCTCATTCGTGTCTGACCTGGTCTCCTGGTGTTATACCATTGGTCTCCTCATTCGTGTCTGACCTGACCTCCTGGTATTGTATCACTGGTCTCCTCATTCGTGCCTAACCTGACCTCCTGGTAGTGTACCATTGGTCTCCTCATTCGTGTCTGACATGGTCTCCTGGTGTTGTATCATTGGTCTTCTCATTCGTGTCTGACCTGGTCTCCTGGTGTTGTATCATTGGTCTCCTCATTCGTGTCTGACCTGACCTCCTGGTATTGTATCACTGGTCTCCTCATTCGTGCCTGACCTGACCTCCTGGTAGTGTACCATTGGTCTCCTCATTCGTGTCTGACCTGATCTCCTGGTGTTGTATCATTGGTCTTCTCATTCGTGTCTGACCTGGTCTCCTGGTGTTGTATCATTGGTCTCCTCATTCGTGTCTGACCTGACCTCCTGGTATTGTATCACTGGTCTCCTCATTCGTGCCTGACCTGACCTCCTGGTAGTGTACCATTGGTCTCCTCATTCGTGCCTGACCTGATATCCTGGTGTTGTATCACTGGTCTCCTCATTCGTGTCTGACCTGACCTCCTGGTGTTGTATCATTGGTCTCCTCATTCGTTTCTGACCTGGTCTCCTGGTGTTATACCATTGGTGTTCTCTCTCGTGTCTGACCTTACCTCCTGGTAATGTACCATTGGTCTCCTCATTCGTGTCTGACCTGGTCTCCTGGTGTTATACCATTGGTGTTCTCTTTCGTGCCTGGCCTGGTCTCCTGGTGTTGTATCACTGGTCTCCTCATTCGTGTCTGACCATCATTGGTCTTCTCATTCGTGTCTGACCTGGTCTCCTGGTGTTATACCATTGGTGTTCTCTTTCGTGCCTGACCTGGTCTCCTGGTGTTGTATCACTGGTCTCCTCATTCGTGTCTGACCATCATTGGTCTTCTCATTCGTGTCTGACCTGGTCTCCTGGTGTTATACCATTGGTGTTCTCTTTCGTGCCTGACCTGGTCTCCTGGTGTTGTATCATTGGTCTCCTCATTTGTGTCTGACCTGGTCTCCTGGTGTTATAGCATTGGTCTCCTCATTCGTGTCTGACCTGACCGCCTGGTGTTGTATCATTGGTCTCCTCATTCGTGTCTGACCTGGTCTCCTGGGGTTGTATCATTGGTCTTCTCATTCGTGTCTGACCTGGTCTCCTGGTGTTATACCATTGGTCTCCTCATTGGTGTCTGACCTGGTCTCCTGGTGTTATACCATTGGTGTTCTCTTTCGTGCCTGACCTGGTCTCCTGGTGTTGTATCACTGGTCTCCTCATTCGTGTCTGACCTGACCTCCTGGGGTTGTATCAGTGGTCTCCTCATTCGTTTCTGACCTGGTCTTCTGGTGTTATACCATTGGTGTTCTCTTTCGTGCCTGACCTGGTCTCCTGGTGTTGTATCACTGGTCTCCTCATTCGTGTCTGCCCTGACCTCCTGGTGTTGTACCATTGATCTCCTTATTCGTGGCTGGCCTGGTCTTCTAGTGTTATATCACTGGTCTCCTCATTCTTTTCTGACCTGACCGCCTGGTGTTGTATCATTGGTCTCCTCATTCGTGTCTGACCTGACCTCCTGGGGTTGTATCAGTGGTCTCCTCATTCGTTTCTGACCTGGTCTCCTGGTGTTATATCATTGGTGTTCTCTTTCGTGCCTGACCTGGTCTCCTGGTGTTGTATCATTGGTCTTCTCATTCGTGTCTGACCTGGTCGCCTGGTGTTGTATCATTGGTCTCCTCATTCCTGGTTGACCTGACCTCCTGGTGTTATACCATTGGTCTCCTCATTGGTGTCTGACCTGGTCTCCTGGTGTTATACCATTGGTCTCCTCATTGGTGTCTGACCTGGTCTCCTGGTGTTATACCATTGGTCTCCTCATTCGTGTGTGACCTGACCTCCTGGTGTTATACCATTGGTCTCCTCATTGGTGTCTGACCTGGTCTCCTGGTGTTATACCATTGGTCTCCTCATTGGTGTCTGACCTGGTCTCCTGGTGTTATACCATTGGTGTTCTCTTTCGTGCCTGACCTGGTCTCCTGGTGTTGTATCACTGGTCTCCTCATTCGTGTCTGCCCTGACCTCCTGGTGTTGTACCATTGATCTCCTTATTCGTGGCTGGCCTGGTCTTCTAGTGTTATATCACTGGTCTCCTCATTCTTTTCTGACCTGACCTCCTGGTGTTGGATCATTGGTCTCCTCATTCGTGTCTGACCTGACCTCCTGGGATTGTATCACTGGTCTCCTCATTCGTGCCTGACCTGACCTCCTGGTAGTGTACCATTGGTCTCCTCATTCGTGTCTGACCTGGTCTCCCGGCGTTATACCATTGGTCTCCTCATTCGTGTGTGACCTGACCTCCTGGTGTTATACCATTGGTCTCCTCATTCGCGTCTGACCTGACCTCCTGGTGTTGTATCATTGGTGTGTTCTCTCTCGTGTCTGACCTTACCTCCTGGTAATGTTCCATTGGTCTCCTCATTCGTGTCTGACCTGACCGCCTGGTGTTGTATCATTGGTCTCCTCATTCGTGTCTGACCTGACCTCCTGGTGTTGTATCATTGGTCTCCTCATTTATGTCTGACCTGACCTCCTGGTGTTGTAGCATTGGTCTCCTCATTCGTGGTTGACCTGATCTCCTGGTGTTATACCATTGGTCTCCTCATTCGCGTCTGACCTGACCTCCTGGTGTTGTATCACTGGTCTCCTCATTCTTGTCTGACCTGGTCTCCTGGTGTTATACCATTGGTGTTCTCTTTCGTGCCTGGCCTGGTCTCCTGGTGTTGTATCACTGGTCTCCTCATTCTTGTCTGACCTGGTCTCCTGGTGTTATACCATTGGTCTCCTCATTCGTGTCTGACCTGGTCTCTTGGTTGGTGTTGTAGCATATTGGTCTCCTCATTCGTGGTTGACCTGATCTCCTGGTGTTATACCATTGGTCTCCTCATTCGCGTCTGACCTGACCTCCTGGTGTTGTATCACTGGTCTCCTCATTCGTGTCTGCCCTGACCTCCTCCTGGTGTTGTAGCATATTGGTCTCCTCATTCGTGGTTGACCTGATCTCCTGGTGTTATACCATTGGTCTCCTCATTCGCGTCTGACCTGACCTCCTGGTGTTGTATCACTGGTCTCCTCATTCGTGTCTGGCCTGACCTCGTGGTGTTGTACCATTGATCTCCTTATTCGTGTCTGACCTGATCTTCTAGTGTTATGTCACTGGTCTCCTCATTCTTTTCTGACCTGACCTCCTGGTGTTGTATTGGTGTTGTATCACTGGTCTCCTCATTCGTGCCTGACCTGACCTCCTGGTAGTGTACCATTGGTCTCCTCATTCGTGTCTGACCTGGTCTCCTGGTGTTATACCATTGGTGTTCTTATTCGTGTCTGACCTGGTCTTCTAGTGTTGTATCACTGGTCTCCTCATTCGTGTCTGACCTGACCTCCTCCTGGTGTTGTAGCATATTGGTCTCCTCATTCGTGGTTGACCTGACCTCCTGGTGTTATACCATTGGTCTCCTCATTCGTGTCTAACCTGACCTCCTGGTGTTATATCATTGGTCTCCTCATTCGTGGTTGACCTGATCTCCCGGTGTTATACCATTGGTCTCCTCATTCGTGTCTAACCTGACCTCCTGGTGTTATATCATTGGTCTCCTCATTCGTGTCTTACCTGACCTCCTGGTAGTGTACCATTGGTCTCCTCATTCGTGTCTGAACTGACCTCCTGGTGTTGTATCATTGGTCTCCTCATTCCTGGTTGACCTGACCTCCTGGTGTTATATCATTGGTCTCCTCATTCGTGGTTGACCTGATCTCCTGGTGTTATGCCATTGGTCTCCTCATTCGTGTCTAACCTGACCTCCTGGTGTTATATCATTGGTCTCCTCATTCGTGGTTGACCTGACCTCCTGGTGTTATATCATTGGTCTCCTCATTCGTGTCTGACCTGATCTCCTGGTGTTATAGCATTGGCCTCCTCATTCGTGTCTGACCTGACCTCTTGGTGTTGTACCACTGGTCTACTCATTCGTGTCTGACCTGACCTCCTCCCGGTGTTGTAGCATATTGGTCTCCTCATTCGTGGTTGACCTGACCTCCTGGTGTTATACCATTGGTCTCCTCATTCGTGTCTGACCTGATCTCCTTGTGTTGTATTAATGGTCTCCTCGTTCGTGTCTGACCTGATCTCCTGGTGTTATAGCATTGGTCTCCTCATTCGTGTCTGACCTGACCTCTTGGTGTTGTACCACTGGTCTCCTCATTCGTGTCTGACCTGACCTCCTCCTGGTGTTGTAGCATTGGTCTCCTCATTCGTGGTTGACCTGACCTACTGGTGTTATATCATTGGTCTCCTCACTCGTGGTTGACCTGACCTCCTGGGGTTATTGACCTCCTGGTGTTATACAATTGGTCTCCTCATTCGTGTCTGAGCTGACCTCCTGGTGTTGTATCATTGGTCTCTCCATTCGTGTCTAACCTGACCTCCTGGTGTTGTATCACTGGTCTCCTCATTCGTGTCTGACCTGGTCTCCCGGTATTATACCATTGGTATCCTCATTCGTGTCTGACCTGACCTCCTGGTAGTGTACCATTGGTCTCCTCATTCGTGTCTGAACTGACCTCCTGGTGTTGTATCATTGGTCTCCCCATTCGTGTCTAACCTGACCTCCTGGTAGTGTACCATTGGTCTCCTCATTCGTGTCTGCCCTGATCTCCTTGTGTTGTATTAATGGTCTCCTCATTCGTGTCTGACCTGGTCTCCTGGTGTTGTATCAATGGTCTCCTCATTCGTATCTGACCTGGTCTCCTGGTGTTATAGCATTGGTCTTCTCATTCGTGTCTGACCTGATCTCCTTGTGTTGTATTAATAATCTCCTCATTCGTGTCTGTCCTGATCTCCTTGTGTTGTATTAATGGTCTCCTCATTCGTGTCTGACCTGATCTCCTTGTGTTGTATTAATAATCTCCTCGTTCGTGTCTGACCTGATCTCCCTGTGTTGTATTAATAATCTCCTCGTTCGTGTCTGACCTGATCTCCTTGTGTTGTATTAATGGTCTCCTCATTCGTGTCTGACCTGGTCACCTGGTAGTGTACCATTGGTCTCCTCATTCGTGTCTGACCTGGTCTCTTGGTTTTGAACCACTGGTCTCTTCATTCGTCTCTGACCTGGTCTCTCGGTGTCCTGCCATTTCTGGCCTGGTTTGTGGTGTAGTGTCCATTGGTTTTGTCCTTTCTGCCTTAGTCTCTTGGTGTGTATTTTAGTCTTGTTATCTTAGACCCAGTCTCTTGGTTTTTCTTGTTTGTTAGCCTAGTACTGGGTGTCATGCCATGCCTTGTCGGTTGTCCTGAACCATGGCAGTTCCCAGGTCCGGTCTGATGATTTTTACTCGGTCATATTAAATTGACCCTAAACGTTAGCCTGGTTATACATAACACTTTCTCTTGTGTTTCCCGACAGCTTTAAATTCTAAGTACCAGCAAAAAGTGTACATCTAAAGTGTACCGTGAAAAGGATGTTAGATAGGGTTGCCAATGGTTAGCCGGTTAATCGGTTGGACGACCACGATCTGTTTACCATATTCCAATAACCCAATAATCGGACATTTATTTAAGCCTTTGTATAGCCTCATGTTTCTTGGCTTTAACCTTCAAATTATATATAGATGCGACCAAAAATGGATATTTTTGTAATAATAACAGTGTTCAGGCTTACATGTAAGTGTTGTTTTTGTACTCTATTGTAAAGATTGACAAAAAGATGCCGCCAACACCATGAAAAATCTTAACAGATTTTAAAAGGAAGTCAGAATACAAAGTTGTGAAACAGCAACTTTTAGCGGTAGAACTTGTGTTTTCGTGTGAGATGTAAATATAATCGGAAGAGGACACACTTGAATGAGCATGCATGTATTAAAAAGTTTGTCGATAACATTTTATTTTAAAGAACAGTATTACCGCATATGATTTCGAGTACAGATAACTGTAATTGAGTCCTGTCTTCCTGTATTCCGACATTTGTTCTCCTCCATTAAATGAACGGATATTGTTTTCATGTACATTGCGGCAATAAATAGCAGTAGCAGATCAGCTACTGCTATTCATTACCGCAATGTACATGAACAAAAAATCCATTCAATTCATATATTTACGTTACGACGAACTCCAATAAAAAAGTTACAACCCTTTTTGTAGATTTGATAGTGCCAAAACACATGTCCATACCAAATAAGACTGAAATTGAACAATAACTGAATTAAGACCAATCAGAAGCCAGTATAAGGTGGCCATTTTGTCAAATCAGGAAAATGATGCCGCAGTTGAATTTGTAATGTTTAAATACACTAACATACCAACAGAACTCCAGCCTGCACACGAACTTCAAATGTTCGACTTCCACAGATCAGCTGATTTTGTTGAAACGAAAATATATATCTAGAATCTAATAATACCAACACTTGATATTTCTTTCATTTTTGAAAGATGATCTTATTTGATTATTTTTCGCGTTAAACATCGCATAGTATATAATTATTTTCAAAAGTTTATGTCAGCACTATTTCAAATCATCGGTCACTATAACCATCCAAGGCATTCGTCGGCCGAGCACCCGTCGGCAGTAGGCATTGAGCTGAGCTCATTTGAAACTGAATGTACAGCCGTTGAATGTAATGTTTACCAAAAAACCTGCTGATGTAAATGGTGATAAGTTGGTGGGTGAAGTGCCCTGTGTCCTCACAAAGTTCTCCGGGTTTAATGTGCAAGTTGATGTCACGGGGAGTACCCAGCCGGACGTTTGGGACCAGGGTGTTAACAAGTTCGTGACCACGAGGAACCTATTGCGAGTCGGAAGTCAGTATTTAATATGACAATGTTAAAAGTATTTGTTTTGGTTTTAAATTAGAAAGTATAATAATAATAGTACAATGGTGCACCAATCATGAATTTTGTAATGTTAATTATTTTTTCTCGCAACTACGTTATCTCGGAGAAAGGGAGATAACTATTCTCAGAAACGGTACTATGCGTAGTAAAATGAAGTGGTCATTGTGTGTGAAATCAGCTGACAGGTTGCACGAAAATCGTTGTATTCATAGTGTATTCATAGTTAAATGGCAATTGTTTTCAGTTGGTATATTCATATACAGAACAAACATCAAGAATGTAAAATATTAAAATATTCCCTGCGTTTAGCTTGAAATATGCGAGTAAACTATCCTGCTAATTAATATATACACGTATTTCTCCCACAACCACATAGGTTTCCTCTTTGAAACCTGCTAGGAGCTGGTAAACATTTTTGGTTACCCACTAGCGGGTAGCACCCTGGACGTGAGTTCATTGGTCAATCTTTGATTCATGACGTCACGTAACAATGCTTTTCGACGTCATTTTCAATCGTGGCGTCATGCTCAACGGAAACACACACGATATATTTTGCAATGGAAAAATTGTGGGTTTTCAGAAAAAACGAACGTTATAGGAGAAACAGGTCCTCAAACTCGTGAACAAACCTCGTGTCTTTATACAATTGAACTGACTCGAGTTAAAAAAAACATGATAACCAACCGAACCTCTATGTATGTGGTGTAACTACAATAATATACGTATAAAATAAACCATTTACTAAACAGACATTGTATAACGTAGTGTCGTTGTTTATAATTTGATTACCAAATTGACCGATTAGCCGGAGACTCGAATGACCGATTAGCCGGAGACTCGAATGACCGATTAGCCGGAGACTCGAATGGAAGATTGTTCAAGGAACTGGTTACCAAAATTTAACCGGTTTGACAACCCATTTTTTTATGGCAGACGAGACAAAAGACTAAAGACTAAGTGTATTGACTAGGAAGTGTTTTTCTTGGACGCATAATATCATTTTTAACACGTTCTGTTTATAATGCGACTCCTTTATCTAAGTCTTTTCAAATGAGCATTTATGTTATGTTAATTTACTTTTCTGTTACATTTCCTCTTGGGCAAAAGAAAATAAATATGTGTGTTTCCTGTTTCTGCCTGAAAATATTAGGGTCGGTAGGTAGGGATATTTTTCTGATTTTTTTATGTTTTCTAGATTAGTGTCGCATGTGTATACTATTATACTATTGTGAGATGCTTAGCTGTTTGAAAAAAAGATAGTCTTCTCTGCTTGTTCCTCAATTTCAGGTCTTTGGATGATAATCAGATATCCGTAGTGTGAATGTTGGTATCCTCGATATCCAGGGGTTACGCTCACGTTCGCTCTCTATACCCCTGGAACATGTCATAGCAAAATTGAAGGCACGGAGAAAGCTGTTTGATTGGTTTCAGGTAAAAAAAAACCTGACTAATCGCTAGACTGATACCTGTCATTTGAAGATTACAAAAGAAAGTCAGATGTCCACTTTTGATTTTCCGTTCATCGTGTCTTGTGTGTTAATACTATGGTAATCCATTATTGTGGAGTTTATTTTTACATCAACATGGAAATAAACAAAAGCACAAACTTGGTGTTTGTCTCTCCTTTTTTTTTTGCCTGAATTTCAAAATTAAGTATTTACGGAGAGGTAGAATCAGACTCAAGATATGCACTTCCTATAAGTTGACAACAACACATTTTTTTTTTTTACATCAACTATAACTAACATCCGAGTTACTTTTGAGTTTCATAGCAATGACGAAGTTTAGGCTAGAACATCTCAGACGGACAGGCCGCTGCCAATCTCAAAGACCTGCCCGCCATAGCTCGCTGTAACAGCATATTGAGTGTTCTTAGAAACCCATCCGTGGTGATTATGGAACAAATCCGAAATAAGATCGGTTGTCTTGACACATGTCATCATTTTTTCTTCGCGGAATTCTCGCATTTGGAAAATATTGGAGCTATACAGCCGTTCTTTTCAAGGAAGCCATATTTTAGTCAGGAGCGCGCTTAAATACATTCATTTGCTGCATACGTTTATGAGATCTAGATTTACTAGTGACTAAATTGAAAAACGGACAAGGGCAGCGTTTTCCACCTTTTTCTCGAAATATTTTTTTTTATCTTGAAACAAATTAGGGTCGGTAGCAAAAAAATAGGGTCGGTCGAGAAACCGGAAACACACATTTTTTTTGTTTGCCTTGTCATCGATCCACTTTATACTAGAGTTGTGTACATGATAAATGTTGTTTTGTTGGAAGATGTGTCCATGGTACCGGGCAATCCAGACGCCATCACGCTGGCTTACAAACACGAGGAAAAGAAAGCGAAAGATGTGCTGCACAAACTGGAGGAAGAAGTTTTAAAACACGGAGTAAGACATTAGTGACACGTTTTGTGATGCGTATACCCCC